TCATTGGGACACTCAAACCCCTCCACCACGATAAGGTAGCAGCCCAAGGAGAGGGCTACAATCAAGTATAATTAAATCAACATGTTATCTGGAGACTAAACCATAAGTCACTGCATTCAACTGTCATGTGTTACAGCTTTTATTTTGACGGGGCTGTGTCAAATACAGACAAAAAAAAAACATACTTGTAGCATGCACAAAAAAAGAGGCAAGGTCAGTGCAGGTTCATCGACAACAAGATGGCAGCATAAGTCCTATTTACTTCATATTTATTGCAATGTTATAATAAAAACATGCCAAAAAATAAGATTACATTTACACTCTATGAACCATGAGAGGGCTCACATATTGGGACACAAATAAAGATATTTGTTTGTCTTCTGGGCTTTGAAAATAAAATGTTTATGATAAATACTGATGTGCTAACCCAGTCAGTGATCTGTCATGTGTGTTAACTGGATTTTATTCTTATCTAAGAAGCATAAATTATGCAGTAATCTGAGAGGAGATTGAGGTATTTAGACAAATGCATTCTCAAATCTGAAGACAAGTTTAAGAATAACCTACTGCAAAAAAAGAAAGCATAAACAAAAAAATTAGTTCAGGACTATTTCTGAGAGTAAAGCTAATGTATTTCCAATTTGTTGATGTCAAAACGATGAGGCCTAATAGGCACTGTTAGCCTATTTTTCCTTCAGTGTGAGCTCTTTGGTTTCACCTGCTGGATCAGGATCACCTGGTTAGTTGAGATGCTGTGGCCCAGGCCATATTTATTATTCAAAGTGCTTCTTATTAAATAGTCATGAGGCTGGCATTTCCATCATCTCCTGTGCCTCAGCACACCATTACACTGCTGTGTATGTGGCTTTTAGTAAAGAGATATTTATTCAATATAGAGCTGAGAAATAATCTGGCTCTAATGAAAAGCTGCGACGTGTTTTAGGTTTTCTGGCAGCTCCAGAACAGATGTGTTTTTAACTTTAAGCCTCATCTACTTCGTTATTTCTAAACACTGTATTGTAAAAACAGACGATACCTTGATAACAAGGTGAGATATGCTAAAAAGGTACCTTCAGGCCTGTCAACACCTTTCTGTCTATGCTTCAAGTAAATAATGAATTTTTAAAAAGTAAGACACCAGAACCTCGTTTACATCAAAGCGATTGAGCGATGTGGCCAGCATGGAGTGTGAAAAATGTGTAAAAATGTCAGCTGTGTTAGCAATATTTAGCTCCTTTCTGACAACAGCCTGGAGCTAACGTTAGCTGGCACCTGACACAACCGGCCATCTCATCCCCTTCTCCTCAACAACAAACCGGCCTCTTTCACCAGCTTTACGACGCTTCTGACCGCTAAAGATAAAGTCGTATAACGGTCAGAAATGTACATTTTAAAAAATACATTATACTCTGCTTAAAGGTTCCAATTTAAAAAGCTAAAATACCTGCTGCCTCCACCAGACCCTGGCCGCAGCGCCATCTTGATAACAGCAGTCACTAGTAGGATTGTGACGTCAAAGGACCCCGGGAGGTAAGTGCGCCCTGAGTTCGGCCTGACAGGCACAGCTGGCTGCTCCTGTCAATAGGTAAGTGTGCCCTGAGTTCGGTCTGACAGGCACAGCTGGCTGCGCCTGACGAGCTGTGCTGTGAATTAGTTTAGTCTCAGAGCTGGTAAATCCGGTTTACTTTACGGAACTGGGTTAATCTGATTCATTCACTAAAACAACTCGTTTCACTTGATTCGTTTATAATACGGAGAGCCTTTTCATTCATGATGCGCACACCACCCCGGCCAATAAACACATATAATGATTTCATATTTGATGAATTCAGTTTCAGTTCAATGAAATTCTCATATAATCTTAAATTTCAGTATGAACAATTCAAATTTCCATTTTTGACGACAAAAGTTTCTTCCCATAAATATTTATTTTATATTTATTTTTACAGTACCTAATTTAACCACCAGATGTCAGTGTTTATCTTTCACAAATTCCCCTCGAATTAACCTCAGTGTTTCCTTTTTAAATGTGAAGGTTTGAAAATAAGTGCTTTTGATCACAAAGTATTAATTTATGTCTGTTTTACAGAATCTATCTTTGCTTCACATTCAGTTCACTTATGTGACATCCATCCATCCATCCATCCATCCATCCATCCATCCATCCATCCATCCATCCATCCATCCATCATCTGCCTCTTGTGCTGGGGCAGCCAGCGATTTAATTTCGGAGATTTATAGTTTCACAGCATATTCCATCTTTCTGGAGGAACCCAAGGGGTTCCCAGATCAGAGTCTCTCCAGCTTGTCCTGGGTCTTTCCAGGGGTCTCCCCCCACTGGACATAAAACCTCCTTACCACATCAACTGGCTTTTACAGTAAATAATCCATAAATGCTTGATATTTTTGCACTTTTACTGCTGAAGTCTGTAGAGTCTAACATGCTGCTTTCTGTCATGTCTCTCTAAGTTGCACAATCTGACTGAACATTTTAAGATGCCTCGTTTTTTGTCATTGTAGTGTTATTTTTTTTTAAATCTCTTCCATCCTACCCCACCCCAGATCGCTGGGCTCATGTAGGCTCACCACTGATGTCCTGAACAAACACAAACAGGCCATGATGACATCTCCGTTAGTAAAAAAGAGTCAATGACACAACCGTGATGATCGGGTCTTATCACCGACAATTACAAGAGACAAACGATAGGCTCGAGATGAGTCATCTGGGCGCGAGGTTCACCGATAAGGATCTCTTTCTGCTTGCGGAGAAAACAAAAGAGATCACTGTCGACTTCTGAGGAGAGCGCGTACGCCCAGCAGTGTCCTTTGACCGTCAACTTTTCTGCAGGTTTGTGTGTTTTAAGCAGAGAACTGTCCCCAGCTTTTGCATTTTAGCTTGATTTTTATTAAACGAACAAAAACACGATGCATACAGACAAACAGATGATGTCAGGCAGGAATCCTTGTGAACTGTTTGCAGATGATGTCATGATATCTGTGATGAGAATGGCAAACAGGTGGAAGAGAGCTCGGAGAGGTGAAGGGCTTGAAAGAGGAGTTGTGAAAGGACGGAGAAAAGAAAAGTTTCAGGAGTAATTTGCGACAAAAGGGTGACAGCAAAGGTCAAAGAGGTCAGAGTTTGCTGGGAACCCCCTCAGAACCCTGCTGTAGGTCACATGTTGCTCCAATGATAGTGGATCAATGTTATATTATTACCACTGATACATTAGGCTTTAAAAACTATTCTAAAATCAAAATATGCATACTTTATTGCTTCAGTCATTTCAGGTAATTATTTCATTAACAAGAACACAGTGGAGAATAAATAAACTGTTGAAATCTTCTGTAAATCATAAAATAACATGTAACATGTACGCTCACTCCCTCAGTAAATGTTTTATGTTCAGTATTTTCATGTTAACATGTAAGTGAATTACAATGCAAATTTTAAATTTTAGTAGTTCTTGATAAATAACAAAAAAAATTAATAGTTTTTTCAATTTTACTTCAGTTTTTTATTGTTTAAAAGACAATTTTCACATATTTTTACATGATTGTGTCCTCTGGTTTTTCTGTTGCGTCACTCTGATGTTGTGTATCCTTTATGAAGTTGTGATTTGAAATACTTTATTTTACATTAACAGACACATTTGGTGTTTTTGCACAAAGTATCCGATCAGTATTGGTGAAACCAGCCTGATTTATTTGGTATAGGAATCAAAAGAAATTGTTGGTATCAAACATTACTCTGTAATAAGATTGTTTATTTAATGAGCTGGTAATTATTATTCTTTCATTACAATAATTTCATAAATCCTAAATTAGCTTTTTTGTGTGGCAGACAAAAGAAATGTGGAAAAAATGCATAAATAAAGGCCTGAAGTTTGATGCTTATAAAAGTAAAGGCTTTAAAGTGTCTCACTTTTTGACATGTTTGTGACTTTTTGCTTGGTGAGAGTTTATTGCAGCAGTTTGGGTTCTTTTCTGCTGTTTGGGAGCCTTTACAGAGACAATCAGTCCCATCAGTCCCCTGTCTCCTGAGCCTGGACCTGCTCCTCCCTGCTGTGTGCTCCAGGTTTTAGCTGGAGGCCGGTCCGATCAGTCGACCGGCTCGACGGTTGGTCTGAAGTGGTTCTAGGCAGGCCCCCCCCCCAAAGAGGAGGTCCAGCAATAAGGTGAACATTAACCCAGTTTTTTTTTCTTTTCTGGGTATGCCACCATTGCTCATAAATCATTAACCTGTCCAGCATTGAGCCAGTAAAGGCATCAGCATGACATCAATCCATCAGGATTCCTCTCAACCACAGACTCTTGCTGCAGTTTTTTTCCAGCCTCAGATGCAAATAGTTTTTCTAAAAGAACAAACCCGAAACAGACAAATAAATAAATAAAATAAAAATAAAAAACTTGGACCTCTCATTTTTATTGATTTATTTTTCCGTGCAGTGTGAGTCAAAGCATTTTTTTATTGTTTCATAAACAGGTTTTGTGGAATGCATTACTCACACTTTACTGTTTAAACTGTGTTTGACACAACCAGTGGTTGACTTTTTAATTACAGTTTTATAAGATGAAAAGGCTCAAGATGTTCAAGAAAACTGTTAAATAATGACGTAAAAACAGGCAACTTTTAAACATATAACTGCACTCAAATTTAGTGCGTTATACAGTTTTTTACTTGTTTAAAACATGTTTATGGTTCTAAACTTTCACAACATGGAGTTTAACGTTTTTGTTTGTTATTAGCTTCTGATTATTTAAGGTGGAAAATGACCAAAAACACATCTCTTCTTGATGATTTTTGCAGTTTTATGATAAAAATATGTATGTTTTCTGGTTTATCTGTAAATACAGTTTATTTGTTTGTTTGTTTGTCAACATTTGAACAAAAGTTTAGTTGATTCTTGCTTTTATTTTGTAAAATTATTGCAGAACTTTTGATGGAAAATAGGAGAAAACTAAACACCATGAAACGACTGAGGGAATGTCAATGAAAGCCTGCCGATCAGAACTCACCAGAGCGGTTCTGTTCTGGCCCGGGAATGTCTCGGGATCCCCCAGGAGGACGTGGTGAGAGGGAAGTCTGGGTTTCCCTCCTCCACCTGAGCGTGGATTCATGGAAGAAAAGGGATGGATGGATAAATCAGAGGAGATCAAAAGGCACCTAGCTGTCACTGTTGGTGGTACCGGCGTAGCTGTGGGCCCAACAGAGGGTCCCTGAACACAACAGAGGCCCTTTGATGGAGGACTCCTGTCACAGCAGCTCCATACATGTGTAAGTATCTTCTCCACGAACAGGGTTGGTGTAAACTCTGGTCCCAGTGACCAATTAGGCCAGGCATTGACCGGCCTCGTGACCCCTGACCCCTGCTGGGCAGTCCTATCCGCAACCCTTTGGGGGCTCGGCTGGAGTCGACGTAGCGCCTTTTCTTCCGACGCTGCTAAACACGCAGCCGCGTTTCAGCCTCGCAGCTTCCACTCTCTGTCTCTGAGTGACCCTCCTCTGTTCCTCCTGCTGGCCTCTCATCCCGTCAGCTGGTCCACGTCCACCAGTCAGACCCCCGGACGGAGTCTTCTGCTCATCTCTGTCTCCTGTTTCTCACTTTAATTAATGAGTGTCATTTATGTCTCTGATTCGATAGCATTCAAATGATTGAGATCATTTACCTTCCATACATTTTTCATGTATCTCGTTCTGCAATTTTTATGCTATTTTAACAATTTCTCTATCAAAGTGTTCAGCTCCTTCAGGGCATTCAGCCTGTAGCTACTTATTGAGATATTTAGCATTTTCTGTCAGTATTTTCTCATTGAAAATGAATGGAGCTGACTTTAACATACATAAAACCCTTTAAAATGTTTATAAATCTTTACTGTACTTTTTATCTTATTTTCTATTTCTGTTTACTTTTTTAGCTTCCTTTGTGCTTCTGTTTTGTTGATTTTTTCCACCTTTTTTAGCTGTTGCGCTGACTAAATGTTTTGTGCTTCTTTAAGCTTCTTTCTGCTGACTTAACACATTTTATGCATTTTCTGTGTTTTTAGTTATTTTTAAGCTAATTTCAGCCAACTTGAGCTGTTGTCCAGCTAAATTCACCTTTTTTAGCTGTTATATCAACTGTCTGCTATTCGTCTGCTAATTTAAATTTTTGTGCTGCTTCTTTCTGCTAATTTAAACATTTTATGCATATTTTTACTAAGTTCAACTGTTTTCTGTGTTTTATTTTGTTTATTTAAGTTAACTTGAGCTTTTTTCAAACAAAACGAGCTTGTTCTGTTTCTTTCTGGTAACTTCGGCTATTTCAGCTGCTTTTTAAGCTATTTTTAAGCTAGTTTCAGCTTTTTTAGCTATTTCAAAACAAACTGAAAATACGTCATTTCTTGTTTTTTGCTCATTTAATATTTTCACTCTCATTTTCTTGTCTGTTAATTTCAACTTGTTTCATCTACTTTTAGCTTTTTATTTTTTGTTAATTTTGGCTACTTTTTTCTTTTCAGATTTTTTTTTTTACCTTTCTAAGGATATATTACTTTTGTTGACCTACTTTCATCAAATGTCAGCTGTTTAAATTGAACTAGCATTAGCAGTTTTGATATTAAACCTTTCAGCATCTTCAGAAGCTTTCAGCTAAAATCTCAGCATTAAGCTTTAGCTGCATTTTCTCAGGAAATGAAATTCTGCCTGGTTTGTTTATTTTAGAATTTGGCAAACGTGTTGATTTAAAAACAAACCTGATATTTTATGTTCTATAAAATCATAAATTGGTTGTTTTAATGTGAGTAGAGACTTCACGGTTGTTGTTTCAAACTCTAACAAATGTAAATCAGCCTCTCTGTGTTCCAGATTCCCTAAAAGAGTAGAAAAAAAACACAAAAGATGTCAGATCTTCAGCGGTGTCCTGGGTCTCGGAATTAAAGGTCCCTTTGAAAACCAAATGAAACGAATCAGTGGATTACAAGGCTTTCCTCAGCAGGACAACAAATCATGAGAGGGTTTCAGGATTTAAGCAAGCTCACGGGAAATATCGAGGTCCAGATCTCCTCTGAAGGAGCTTTAAATGAACGGGTTTCAAAGCACAGTGAGTTTCAGACGTGTATCCCATCATAATCAGGCTCTCAAATTGAAAATATATGCTTTTGATTAAAGCCAGAATAGTTCTTCCATATGTGTGGTCTTTTTTAAAAACTACAGACATAAAAAAAACAAACAAACTGAAAATCTGGAATAGTTTGCTTTTTTCTTTAGACATTCAGGTACAGAAATTAGGTGAACCTGAGCTCACCTGACCACAGTTTCCTCTTTATAATCCTTCAAAATGAAGCGAAGGCAAAAAAGATGCTTCAATTTGATTCTTTTTTGTCTTCCGATTGAAAAGGCACGAAAAAAGTTATCAGGTACTGTCCTGATGCATCTCAGTAATCCAGGTAAAAAATCAAAAAGAAAAAAATCGTATAGGTCTTCTGGACGGGTTCTTCTCTAATGAAACGTTTCGTCTCTCCTCCAAGAGACTTCTTCAGTCTGAGAGTTTCAGGCAAAATTCAGGCTTTTAAGCCCTGCCTCCATGTGACTGATACTCACATCACATGACTATCGTTGACACCTAATTAACACCTATTGTTAACAGGGGGTGGAGTGATACTGGCAATAGCCGCGCTGTAGGAGGGGGACAACTGAAAACGGAGGCCTCCACCTCTGTTTAATGATGGACGGTCTTTCTTCACAAAAATGGCTTCTTTTACTCCTCTCTCAAACCAACGTTCCTCTCTATCAAGAATGAGAACATCCTCATCTCTGAAAGAGTGACCGCTGGCCTGTAAATGAGTGAAAACTGCAGAGTTCTGGCCATTAGATGTAGCTCGTCTGTGTTGGGACATTCTTTTGAACAGTGGCTGCTTTGTTTCCCCGATGTATAACTGGTCGCAGTCCTCCTGGCACTTAGCAGCATATACAACATTGCTCTGTTTGTGCCGGGGCACCCAAAAGAATGTTCAAAAGAATGTCCCAACACAGACGAGCTACATCTAATGGCCAGAACTCTGCAGTTTTCACTCATTTACAGGCCAGAGGTCACTCTTTCAGAGATGAGGATGTTCTCATTCTTGATAGAGAGGAACGTTGGTTTGAGAGAGGAGTAAAAGAAGCCATTTTTGTGAAGAAAGACCGTCCATCATTAAACAGAGGTGGAGGCCTCCGTTTTCAGTTGTCCCACTCCTACAGCGCGGCTATTACCAGTATCACTCCACCCCCTGTTAACAATAGGTGTTAATTAGGTGTCAATGATAGCCATGTGATGTGAGTATCAGTCACATGGAGGCAGTGCTTAAAAGCCTGAATTTTGCCTGAAACTCTCAGACTGAAGAAGTCTCTTGGAGGAGAGACGAAACGTTTCATTAGAGAAGAACCCGTCCAGAAGACCTATACTATTTTTTTCTTTTTGGTTATCAGGTACTAATAAATAAAAGTTTAATTAATTCATCAAATTCACCATTTTAACTAGACTAAATATTTGAAAATCTATCCCTTTTCCTATATTTCAGAGCAGTTTAGTGGCTTTACTTCGACTTTTTGGTTTTAATTAGTGCTAAACATTTGTCTTATTTAGAAAATAATAAGTCAAAGCATTGAGGTGTATTTATTAGAAACGCTATTAGAGCGGCCATATTGTTCAGGGCGAGCACAAGCTGGTGAATTTTAATGTAACTACTGTATGTTAAGTTTAGGTCAGCACATTGATTATTTTGATTTGACAGAAATTTGTCATAATTTCAGGTAAAAACATGAGGCCAACATGTCTGTAAATAATGATGTTTCTAACAGAAACTAACCAATGAAAAACTAATATTTATAAGTAATTCTATGCTGAAATCTATCCCTGATAAACTGCTTACATGAACAGCCCACCCTCATCCAATATGGCGTCTCGCTCGTACCACAGAGGTCAAAGCGTGACTCCTCTAGTCAATAAACCTCACTGGGTCAAAGCATCATGTTCTGACGAACCTATCATGACTTCATGGTTTCTCTATTTACTTTAGTCTACCTCCACTGGGGGGTCGTCCCAAAAACCTCCACTGAGACCTGCTTTCAGAACACTTCGAGGGCTGCTGTCGCTTACACAAACGTCCAAAAAAAGTTACAACTTCGGTTAAAATCTCTAGCATGTAAACAGAGCTTAAACTGGGCCTCGTTCACAAACACAGAACTGTCCGTCTCTTTCTGAGGTGTCTGAATGCTTAAAACACAAATAAATCCATTGAAATTTATTGTAATCCTAATGAGCAACACAGTGATTTAAATGACTAAAAGAAACTTTAAAAATTTCTGCTGCATTTCGGCTGTTTGTGTAAGCGACACATTTGTATTTGTTGCAGCCTTTAAATCTTTTATCTAGAATCCAAATAAGACATTTGTCCGTCTTTCTTATTATTCCTATAGTAAACGCTGCAGACTCCGACCGGTAAAAAAAGAAACGTGAGCACGTGTGATCTTCAGAAATAAAAAAACAACATTTTACTTGAAATACCAATATATTCTCAGAAAGTATAAATAATGATTTAACAATTGATTTCAGTTTTATACAAAAATAATACAGGAGGAGGAGAGAAAGAATCACGTGGGGTCACATCGGAACAATACGAGCGCCGTCTGATCAGATCATCAGAGAACAGTCACACAGAAGAACTAATGACCTAATGTTGAACAGGAGGCTGGATCTGCACACTTTTACCCGCCCAACGGATGAACCCAGTTCAAGTTCAGGCGTTTTAAAGTGGGGTTCTGTTGAAAGGTTATGATTGGTTATTATCTTACCTGTTGTAGATAGCTCTCAGGTTAGAGAAAGTTTAATTTTCAATTACTGAAGCAGGAAGGCAAATAGGATCGCTGCCATTTTATGAAAACTCCTCTCCTAAACAATTAATTTTATAAACCTTATTATTTGTAACTGCTGATAACAGCAGAAGCAGCTAGCTGTAGCACTTCCCGATGATGGTTTTAAGGGCGGCAGTACACTTTGGTCTTGGGTTAGCCGTTAGCTCGTCAATCTGGGCTACAACTTATTGCTGTTACTCAAAACTGCGTGTCAAACTGAAGGCTCACAGGCCAAATCTGGCCTTCTTCAACATTTTAACCGGGCTTATAGTTGATCATTTCAATGTGAAGTATTTCTCTTTTTTATCTCTGTATTTAGAGCATTCTTCTAATGATAGTCGACTTTTGAGAAAATTAACTGAATTTTTCAGGAATCTTTGTCTGATTTTGGTGAGGAAAGAGCAACAGAGTCAACTTTGATTATCTTTTCATGTGTTCTTTTTTATTTTAAAGTCAAATAATTAGATTTTTGTGATTTTTTTAACCTGATTTTACTGGATTGTAATGAAATATATCTTTAAAGTACAATAAATGAAAAAGTTGCTGGTAGACTGTAAGGCATAGGAAATGAACACTAATGACGAGTCTTTCTAAATTTAATCTTTTTTCTTTATCAGTTAGGTTTTGCATGTTCTATATGTTACACTAAACATAATTTGTAAAAGATCATTTATATTTCTATAAGAATAATCTCCTATGTAAATATTGACAGGAATGGGCCTTGGACCAGGTTTTAACTTTTGGCCCCCTCATGTAACAGAGTTTGACACCCCTGATCCAAACGCAAAAGTTATCTGGAACAGGTAAGATATTAGCTGTTCATTGTAACCTTTTAGCATGACCCCAAGTCAAAAGTTTGCTTCGCTTTGGCGACCGGAAAGAAAACAACAACAAAGTGAGCAAGTAATGATTGGTGTTGAATTTGGCCTTGAGATGGTCAGATTCTGAATCATGCTGGTTGACTGAAGGGGGGGGGGGGGGGTCACAGCGGCTGTCTGAACACACCTTAATACTGTCACCGTGGGCGTATGTAGACCAAATCAGTGTCTCTGGAATCCTGCACGATTAAACACACAACGCTGTCCTCTTTCATGCCTGTTTGGCTTCTGAATACTTGTCAATATTTTCATTCTCCAGAGAGGGGGTCGAGGGGCCGTGATTCACGTTGGGGAGTTATTAACAACATTTGTCCTTTTCCACAATGTGGCAAGAAGTGGGAGAGATAAAAGCAGGGCGAGGCCCATTCCTGAAATTCACCTGAACCTGTGTGCAAACAACCGTCATCCCAGGTTTCCACGGAGGAGGGAAAAGTGTGAGTCAGTCCTGCGCTCTGAACCACGGCCCTACGCAGCTGTCACTCATAGTTCACCCTGCCTGTGTGTCGTTTTACAGCGTTTACAGCCCGCAGGAGCTGACATAGTGCATATTCGTTTCCAGCCTCGAGTGTGTGGAGTTTTGTGCAGAATCCAGTGATGCAAAGCACGGATTGCATAGTCCTGCTCGCGATTGTCCAAGTCTTTTTCAATCACAAACAACAGCATTTTGCAGTAAACCGAGTATGAAAATACAACATGGAAGACTGGTTTAAAGTAATGCACGTAAGATCAAAGAAAAGCTGATTGTCGCTCCTCCAGGACGCCGTCTCTGTCAGTGTCTTCATATTTCCGCCTTAAATCACAGTTCGAGTCGCCCCGGAGCCGCTCATTCACTTCATCCCGCCGCCTCTTTTGTTCTTTTTGTCGTGTGAAGCTCAACACTGTTTTTCAAGTGTTTTAAACCTCGTTGATCGTTTTTTTTTCTTCGTGCCGCCGACTTTTTTTATTTTTCTCCCCTCTCCTCTTCTGTCCCGCGTTTTCTGGCCTCCGCCGCACTTTCTGCGTCGCTGCTCCTTCGTTTGTCGACCGTTCGGGTCGTCCGCAGCTCGTGCACGGAGGTGGGGGGTGGGGGTGGGGGTTTGCGGGTCATTAGGGGTCGTTGTGGTTACGGCGGCGTAGAGGGTGGAAAAATGTGCTCAGGTTGCCGGGCAGCGAGGAAGTCGGGTGGACGCTCTCACCAAGCTTGAAGAGGACACTGAAAAAGACAACAGAGAGAAGAAACATTTAAAATAAAAACAGTCTGTTTCATTAACAGTTAATATTTTCTTTATTCAGCTCGTATTGAGCTGTTAAATGGGTTCAAATGTCCACTTGATGGCAGCAAAAATAAATTACAAACAAAGCGATGAATTATATATTAATATTAGTTAAAATATTACAGTCTGGAGACGACAGTTTGAGGGTTAAAGCACAGCAAAGTCACTCAGAAAGAGTTTTTGCCCTTTTTAGGACTTTCCTAACAACTCTTTACATTTCTAATTCATAAACAATTTTTATAACATTTATCACTAATTTGTCCGGTTTAGGGAGAAAATCATAATTTAAGTTATTAAAACTACATTTTACAACTCATTTGTCAGAATATTTTCCTCTACTCTGAGTTGAAACAGATCAATAAACTTATTTGAGAATATCTGGCCACTAATTTAAGTCTACAATATAGTTTCTCTACAAAAAGTCTCTTGAATTAACCTGTAAAAGAGTAAAATGATGCGGATGAGTGTTTGAATGTGCCACCAAAGGGTCATAAGATTTATAAAGTTTGTGATTTAACTAGTTTCTTTTTTTAGGAGATTACAATGTTATTTATGTCAATGGTTCAGAAACGTTTGAGCTTCTGACCCACAAAATACAGTACCAGCAGCAACGACCCGGAATCCTAAACAAAATGTCTAAAAAGCTAAAAAAACAAGCAGAATGAGTTTGGATCCATTCATGACTGAGACTTTTAAAGTCATAGTAAAGATGTGCCGTTAGAGTGTATTTATTTTTATTTTTACACGATTAAAAGGAAACTCCTCCTTTTATGAATGATGTTTAAACTTTTTCTTGCTTTTATTTTAAAGCACTATGTGTGTGTGTGCTTTTATTTTGAAGCATTTGTGTGTGCTTTTATTTTGAAACACTTTGTGATTTTATATCTATGAGAAGTGCTATATAAATAAACTTTACTCACTTAGGCACAGTCTAAAGATTAAAACTAAAATCTTTGGATGATAAAGCTCTTAAACATCCAGTAGTAAGGTGTTTTTTGTTTTTTTAAATGACTCCATCGGGCTCACTCGTGTCTGAACGTTCAGCTTTTCTGCTCGACAGGTAAAAGCCGCTTCAGTTTTCATGGCAACCAAACGGCAGCGTTCAGCTCGTTAAACACCGCGCGTGAGAATCATCACGCTGCTCACCTTCAGCTTTGTGATTCTTGCAAAGCGACGCTTTAATTCGTGAGCAAGCTCAACGTTCTGGATCATTTCTGCTGTTTTAGTTGAGCTTACCTGCTAAAAACAACCAGCTGCTGTGGCTGAAACTTACTGAAATCCACGAAGCAGCTGAATATACTTATGATTTCATGGATTTAGTCATTTCACAGTAAAACCGTTGACTAATACTCCTTGATATTTCTCTTCCCAGGTAAAAACAGAAACTTCTGTCTTCCACTCTTGGTGCGTCACACCTGACCAAACACCGTCTTTTTCTCCCGCCTCTGAAAACCTCATTTCCACTCTCTTCTTCGTGGACGTTTTTCTGGTGGTGTGGGTTTATTTTTCAGCTGCCTCGCTGCGTGGAGACAGCTGACCCCGGAGTGACCCGGCGGCCGACAAACAGCCTCACCTGATAACGCTGAGCTGAGTCATTAGACGCGGCGGTCTGAGCAGAGGTGAGCAGCAAACAGACGCAGGTATAATGGAGGGCTCTTAGTAAACAGCCCGTGTTGTAAAGCCTGAGCAGGTTGCTTGTATCATGAAGGCTGCCCCCTCTTTTAAATGATAAGGAAAAAATGGTAGATTTTCAGACAAAAAATAAAAAATAAATAAAGGATTTTGTGTAAAAACAGGACTTTGTGTTTGGTTTATGTTGTTTTTCAGGCTAAAACTTTACCCCAAAATACATTTAGATAATACAATATATTTGAGTTTAAATTGTATCATAAAAACTTAAAACACTCCTTTTTTTCCTATCTTGAGGCTCTTTTTGTAAAAGAAAACAAAAATATGTAGTAAAATGAAGAAAAAAAATTATTTTTGAATTTAATATATTAATATCTTATATTTAGGACAAGAAAATTCATTAAGTCCACCTGAAATCTCAAATATGTTTTATTAATGGCAATTTATATCAGCCAAACAGCTGTCCTACAACACAATTTTAACAATGAGATTACTAGATTTAGGTTTCTGGGGCTTGTTTTTGTTCAATTTGAGCAAAGTTTTTTTTTACTTCTTCCAATTCCTTTTCAAATATGTTAATTTAATTAATTTGGTATCACTTTTTTTTAATCATTTTTTGTTTTGTACACGTTTGAAATAAAGGCAAACTAATAAAAAATGAAATTGGGGCCTGTTTATTTTTCTTACTATGATTATGTGTAGGTGATAAAAAAAACATTAAATTTTTATGTAAAAGCAAAAATTTGAAATTTTTTCAAGCTATTTCGGCGACTAAACTAAATTACTTCCTATATTTATTCATGTATAATACTAGAAATTTAATCCTAAAAATCATCCATAAAATGGGAGGGTAGTATTATACACGGGTTATTGATAATTAGATTTTAATGCTTTTTAAGCTCAAAAATGATCGTATTATACATGCATAAAGACGGTATTTATTGTTGAAGTTTCTGCATGAATTTTACTGTTTTACCTCATTTATGTTCTTCCACCAGGTGCTGCTTCATTTCTAAGCATATGGTAGATTTTGATTGTTCTTAATTAGATTTTTTTTTCAGATCCGAGGAGCCGTCGGTGAGGCGGTGCTGCGCCTCAGCGTGGGAAATTGAGCGTGTGAAAGCACCGTGGACAACTTTTCAGGCTAGAGCGATCACGGAGAGGAGGGAGAAGTAGGAAAGAGGAAGAGCTGTAATTACTAAAAGAAAAAAAAAAACAAAAAACAAGAACTTCCACCTTCCGGCCGACTCGTCTCATCTGCAGCCTCACTGTAGCATGAAGGAAAGTAGCAGAAACTGGCTGGAAACTTTGATTAACAGGTCTCATTTCCTGATCGCAGAGGTGACTCTCACCAGGAAGATGAAAGTGAAAAGAGGGAGCGTTAATCAGGAGGCGTTCGGGTCCAGGGAACCCGTGATTGATTGGACAGCCGTTTCAGGGGAAATAGGAGTTGTGAGGAGTGTCCTAACCGAACACCCATCTCATCCGTTCGCCTCGGCGTGTTCAACGAGAAGTCGCAGGATTTTGAGCGTGCAACCGATTGGTTTCTGTGAGGGATTTTCACTGGCTGAAGCTGTGAGACAGAGCTAATGAAGTCGTATTTACCAAGGAGAAACCCCCAACTTGCACCACCTTGTTTACAGGAGCGTCCTAACGTAACAGAGAAAGCAGACGATCACAACACACACTCTCCGTGCTGCTTCTTAGGGAACAATCGAGCTAATTATAACATCTACGGCAGCGGGAGGAGAAAGAAAAAAAGAGTCCAGAGCTTGTGAGACGCGTCGTGGCGTTTGGGTGGAAACTCACCGTCTTGTTGGAGGACATGGAGCTGAGAGTGCTGATGCTGTTGGTGTCTGTGACCACCATGGCTGGAGGGAAGCGTGACGGGTGGGAATATTGAGGGGGCTCCTGTTTGTGAGAATACACTGCAAAGAAAAGACAGGAAACAGTCATTTGAAGTCATTAAAATAAAGCTTTGAGTACTTTTTTTCCCATGTTGTATTTAATGCTTTAAAATCTGCCTTGAAAAAGCAAAACTTTTGTGGGATCTGCTGGTGCTCAGGGTTGAGGCGCACGCCTTGGACCAGTCATCCTCTCACTCTCATGTAAGGCTGTAAAAAATACTGATACACTGAAATATCGCAATATTTCATTTCTTGATACTTATTGCTTCTCAAAAGCAATCAATAGATTTTTAATTAAGGGTCTGATCACATGGTGGGCTCGTTTTACTGAGTTTTGGTTTTAAATGGAATCTTTTGGAGAGAAAAAATAGCAACATATCACCTTGCTTACAGTATCGCAACATGTCATATCGTGACCAATATGTATCATATCACCAAATTCTACTGTCACCAGTTAACCTGACAGGTATGTTTTTGGTCTATGGAAGGAAATTGGAATATGGGAGAAACCCAACTGGTGAATTGGGAGAACATGGGAGATACTTTCAGCCAGGGGTTAGAACTTGTAACCTTCAAACCTCCTCCACCTTTCCACCCTTTTAAAAGACTTGTGTGTTTTAAATTATAAGTTATAAAAATGAAACTTCTACAGCCTTATTACAAAAACAGAGACAGTGTAGGAATCGAACTAATTTTTCTTGAAGGAACGTCACCTAAAAGTCGGCTCAGTTTGTACCCATCATGGCAGCTGACCTCCTATTTATGATTTAACCTGCAGCAGGATCCTTTTTTATGATGGCAGTTAGATTTGCACCAGTTTTTCAATAATTATTATTGATCATCAGTGCTGGACATTTGCCTCAGATGTTTTCTGTCATTGGGGAGCTCCAGGTTCAGGTGTATGAACACAGCTCTAAGGCTCTTCAGAGCGTTACGCACATGGCGACTTTAAGGCTGTTTCGAGAGAAAAGTTGTTGCACAATCTGTAAAACTCTGGAGACGTTTAGGGATTTTCACGATGAATGCTGCTCACCAGTCACAGCTCGACGCCACTGTCACGTGTTGAGGATGACTCTCAGCTATTAAAACACCAGATTTTAGCTCAGTATTTGTAAAACTGTAAAATCTGGATCCACATGTTGATCAGGTGTAGATGCACATGCAATGATTATTATTGAATAGGCCTGTCACGATAACAAATTTTGCTGGGCGATTAATTGTCTCAAAATTTATTGCGATAAGCGATAATACTGCCTGGTGACCATTTTACAACTAATAATTATAAAAGCATAATATGTAAGTGTAATAAATCAATAAACTTTAATTTTTAAAAGAATGTTTAACAAAGTGGACTCTCAGTCTCTAACAAAAAATGCACTTGAATTAAAAAAACAAAGAACAACAAAATGTAAATTAAACACCACACACAACTAAGACAGTAAATAAACAATATTAAAGAGCAGCATCTCTTTAGAGATGAAGCAAACTACACAGCGTGGTGAGGACCCACTGTTTCTTATGGGGACATAAGCCCAGTTCAAATCCTATGTAAAGTGTAGGCTAGGTTTAGGGTCGAATGGTAATAGAAAATACTGGTAAATGAATGAAAGTCAATGCAAAGTCCCCATGAGGATAAAAGAACAAACGTGTCTATGTGTGTGAGGAGGGGACAGTCAGTGAGGAGACAGTCAGAGCGCTGCGGGGGAGGAAATCAGACGGTTCAGAGTTTTCCTCATGAGTTGCTGGGACAACTACAGGTTTTTTGGGGTGTTTTGTTAAAACACAGATGGTGCGTTTAAGTTTCCTGTTATTTTTGGGAGCTACAGGTAAAGTCTTGACAAGTTTGTTGCGGGTCTGGGGGAGTTTCAGCCCCCACCCCTTCTCCTCCTCCTCTCTCTCTCTCTGTGTCTGCCCGCAGCGAAATTCAGGCTCTGCAATTACTCCGACACTGCAGCAGCCGCGTTCTGCTTTGAAACGTTTCTTTAGTTTGTTATTGCCACGAGCTCTCACGCTAAAGCGAGAGTTCACTCCTCCCACACTAAGAAAACAGGAGGGGAGGAGTCAGCTGAGCTCCTGTATAGCAGAGCACAGAGAGGGAGAGAGACGAAGTAAACAAACAAGCAGGAAAATGAAACTTATCGTCCTCATTTTTTTTACCGACCTCAAAATAACTTATCGTGCAATAAATTGATTTATTGACTATCGCGACAGGCCTATTAATGAATATAAAATATATACAGGATGTATTAAAACTGTTAGATCAAAGTCAAGGCCCGTGGACCAAATGTGGCCAGTCACAACATTTTATAACTTCAAAGATGTATTAATTTCTTAAAATAAGTTTCTTTAAAGTCCATATCCAGTAGTAAAGCCAGCATTAACAATAAACTACATCTCTCATGATGCATGTTGATTATTTTACCTGTGAAATGATGACATCCAAACACTAGGTGGAGGTACACAGGGTTCTTAACTAGCCAGCTACTTTTGCTGCAGCTCAGTTGTACTGGGAAGTGGGAATTTCCCATTTACAAGTCTTAAATTTAAACTGGAACCAGTTGGAACTCCCTGTCAGGAAGTGGGAGAGTTCAGAAAAATGGCGGCTAACTTTACACAGCTTAACAGTGAGTAAAACTCTTTTCTTTTTACTATTAATAGTAGTTCTGTATTATTTATTTCACCTTTAGTCGTGGTACTTTTCAGTATTTATAACGTGTTAAAACACTGTTTCTATGCAGGAAAAAGCATGTAGAGCTCCGTTATTGTTCGTTAGCGGTGCTCAGCTGTGGCGATGAGACGAGGAACATGACGTTTCGTGTTTAGCTGAAGTTAATTACCTTTGAGGGCCACCATATTGCTCATGAGACCCCCTGTGTTAGGTCTCTATCTTGAGGACAAACTACTAATATAGTTTAGCCTAATTAACACAAGTCATCAGGGTAAAATATTTCCACTAAACACGGCAGGACATAACGAGGTGTTGGAGTTACTGACTGTGTGAGTGAGTGACCGCGGCCATGAACGGCTGCTGGCTCATGTGGCTGGGCGACTGATGCATCAGGCTGGACTGGTGGGGGCTGTGGAGCTGCTGGGTGAACTGCACCGGCTGGAGCGCCGCGAGGCTGCCCGCCACGCTGTTGATGACCGGCACCGTCTGAGACTGTGACGTGTTTAAACCTGACAAGACACAAGTGATGCACCTGTTAGTCGGCGCAGAATAATAAAAAAATAAAATAAAATAAAAGGTCAGGACTCACTCTGTGCTATGGCCATGACTCCAGACAGGGGCATGATGAGGTTCTGTTGGTGGCCGTGATGGGAACTGTGGATGTTTGTCAACGTGCTGACTGGGGGAAGTCCTCCACCTGAACCTGAAATCTGAAGAGAAAAGAGGGAAATGAAATTACGTTGCCTTTTTTTATTGCACTTTTATTTGCTTTTAGCTGAATACAGCACTAAGCCTGAGTACCTCCTATGTAAATTCATGTTCAAAGTGAAACAGATGTAGCCTGCTAAACAAACAGAAGGCAGGCTATTGACTTAGTTCAGATTCTTTTGTGCGATGCTGCACTCGTACCACAAAAGAAGAAAAATGGGAAGAAATAGAAACACAAGCAAGGTGATGCAAAGTACGTTCCTGCAGAAAATGATTAAAAATAACGTAAGTGCGTTTACAGTAACATCTGTCTGAATCCTCCCCTTGGTGGGATGGAGCTTATTTGAATACTTCCTGACCACCTGCAGACAAATAAAACCCTGATATCTGACCTGCGCAGCCCACTCACCACCCTCAGTTCACACCTTATCGCACCAAAAAGATGGAAGTGCTCTGACAGGGAAGTTAGAACAGTCAACGAATTAATCCTTTACAAACTTATTCCTTTGCTTTTATTTGACAGGGAAAAGCAAAAGCTCTGAAATTTTAATTCTGTTTTTATAAAAGTGTCCTGAATAAGCATCAAAGTACAAAAAACATATCCAAAAATGTTGTTTTTCCTTTTGAACGAAAGCTAATTAAAACCAAAAGGAGTCAGACTTAAAACACAGCAACCATAACAGTTAATAAAAGTACTCATCACTATTAATCCTAAACATTTATACCCAGATGTTTGCATATTTAGAATAATTAAAACTTGTTTAGATTCCCTCAGTGAAAACAAACAGCTCCTGCCCTGACCAACAACATGCACTGAACAATCTTTAAAGGATCGCTGCAGCTCAAAATAACCAAGTGTCTCAAAACGTGGAGGCAACTCATCATCACAGTATCGTCAGCATAAAATATGAGCATTTTCAAACTTCTCGATTAACACTTTTCATCTACAGAATAAAATATGCTTTTCTTGAAAGAAGTTCATGAACTTCAGATGCTGCTCATCACAAACGCTTGAATCAAGGTCCTGCATGATCTGTTAGCGCTTAGAGCACGTGCTGGGGGTTGTTCAAAACAGATGATTAGCTGCAATGTGTCATCTTGAATCAAATTAAGAGTTATTTTTTTGTAGATTTCTTTCTGAGTTTTATAAATATTTGTTCAACAGAAAAGGAGATTGTAGAGGTGATGTTCATCGAACAGTAAGCTGGTCAGTTTGAAGGAAAATAAATTTGGTAAATACACGTCGTAGGTGAGATATTTAAAATTAAAAGAACACGGTCATTAGGACTGGTTAAAAAAATCGATTTAATCGATCTTGGATCGATTTTATTTAATGTAAACAACTGTATGTAAACATCTGACTGAAACTGTTCTCCACAGCATGTTTAAATACCTTAAAGATGACATTCTAACAAAACTGTTTAGTTTGTTACCAATATTACTATTTATAAACTTTTAGAAATGTCTTAATGAAATCCACAGAGATGAAATTTTGTAGTTGTATTATTTGTTTTAATAAGGTATAAGTAATAAGTTTTAATAAGTTATATTGAACATAACAGAAGCTAACAAAAACATTACAAATATACAAGTTTCATACGCTCAAAAGGAGTGGGCAGAAGTATACTTATACTAGCCCACCTCTTCTCCTGCAGCCTTATTCCATAACTTATTATTTATCAAGAAAATTATTCATTTCTTAAAAATGAATGCCTCCAACAACACTGTCACCTGCAATTCCTTTTTAATTTAAAACCTTTTAAACTTTTGACAGTTTTCCTTCAAGATTAAACTGTTTAATTTAAAAGTTTGTCCTTAAAACCTGTTGTTTATGATAAAGAGAAAAAATGGTGATATTGGGCCTCATGCAAGAACCGTTCGTACGCACAGATTTGTTCTTAAGTTGTGCGTACG